TATAAATGTATAGGCTGAAATCGAAAAATTAAATATCATTCCAAAGTTCTGCCTGCAGTGTTGTCCAACGACCGTCAATCATAGTTACAGATAATTAAATTAATTAAATTGCACTCTGTAAATTTCATAAGGAAATAATTAATACGCCGTCTTATTAAATCGCCATTAAATTATAAATGTCTCCTGAGAACGAATAAACGTATACACATAACAATAATCAACGCATGACGTGTGCCTTATGTGTATATTACACACTTAACATAAATTATATATAATGTACATTGGACATAGTAACATGATTACATTGCGGGAGTGAATAAACCTATTATAAAATGCTCGTACAAGAAAATTTTAAATGTTTAAATTTTCTATACATAAGCCATAACACCGAAAAATATCGTATGAGTAGGTATCATGGTCATCTATGTTTAAGTATGAGTAGTTGACATTTACTCATACATAATCTCGAGCTATACATGTTCCTATATTATAAGCATAAGTAATCTCGACCTTTAAGTTTATTTAACACGTGCCTTTATTATCCATGAAAGTTGTAATGTATTTTCTTTTTATATCTTGCATATAAAATATGCAAGATTCCTTCTATATTGTTTGTATTAACTTAACTATATTAAGTCTTGTTTTATCATATTTTATAGAGCCTAATATAAGTGATAATAGTAAAGGTTGATGAGAAATGAGCAAAAATGTCAAATTTAAGACAAACAGAATGTAGTATGTAAATTTTCATAAAATACTTTTTTTTAAACAATCAAAAATAACTAATTTATATGAAATTTGATTTACGGAAAAACGCACTTCCTAATTCAAATGAAAAATAATTAAAAACCAATGAAGATTTTGGAGCAAAACTAAAAGCTTTTGTAAGTAAATAGTAAGATTCTAAAAAAAAAGAAAAGTCGAAGAAGAAATAAAATAATTAAGCAAATATGCATAGCATTTTACATCTTAATAAGAAATTTCGAGTTATCCTTAAAGTATGGCATGGTTATAAATTTAAAAAAAATAATAATAAGATTAATATATTCATAACATAATAAATATTCTTTGACGATTTAAATATTTTGCAAGTAATTTAGCTATTTGACAGTCAATTTACGAGCATTAAATGTAGTTTATCAATATATAACAAGCCCAATGAGTAAACAGTAGGTCATACATTTACATATAAGTTTGCAATCAAATTTTTAAAACAATTCTCAAGTATATATTGATCAATCCCGAAAAGCGTAGGTATGTAATAGGCGTTAACGAACTATGACAAAATATAAACTTTTCCACAGTCATAATAGTCACTTTATAATGTTATACTAATCCGTTTCCAAAAAAATGTATAAGATTCAAAAGCGGTAATATATAAGTGACATTAATCGCACAAGATTGCAACAGTTATTAGATCCATCTATCGGTGTATATTTTCGGATTACCCGTTACAGTGTGATGTGTTGCTAAGAATCACATTGTACTTGTATAGCATACTAATAATTCATAAAAAAAATAGTATGTTTTTTTTTCTGTAAACATCTTTAAACATGATATATATTTTTATATAATATATATATATATATATATATATAAATCAATTACGGTCGGCGGTGTGAAGTAACGTCGTGTAGCTCGGGTGCTTCTAAATCATTTCTCTACGTGAACTACCGAATTCTAACTAGTTTTTGAGAGAAAGATTTATCTACCTATCTCTGTGAAAGGCCACGTGGAAATTCCGTCTTCGTGCGAGGCAAGTGTCCGGCGACATAATATTATTATAATACCGTAAGTCGAGTAAACATAATACTAAATACTTAACAGCGCGCGCACACACACACACTTGAGTTTTCGAAAAAGGACTTCCTAAGGATTTACTTGGTCGGGAATTCTTTGGGCGCGGCGCACGCAATCGCGCGTGTCCAAACATTTAGATAATAATATTATTATTATTTTTATCATATTATTTCTCCACGGCAGTGTATTGTTAGCGGAGGTGTCAAATTAAGAAACATTAACCAAGAACAGCGACTCAGCTACTGCGGTGGCATAATTCGTGCTCCTTCCAAGTGTTTCACGCTGGGTCACGCTGGCAGCCACTCCTTACCGTTGTGTTCTAAGCAGTTGTTTCTATTTTGTTTCAATATTGTAACCGCACTAATTCACTGTGTATATAAATATTTGTATGTTGATTATGGCGTTTATTGTTTTACGACTGTCGCAGTACGTGAAATAAATTGTAATAAAAAAAAAAATCCCTAATCTCGCGTGTAAGGTATACCGAAAAAAGTTCCGGTATTTAATAAATTCATAAGCACACATCCGGAAAGAACACACGCTCACGCCAGCAGATATCGCTAATATGTATATAATTCATTGGTCTTAAATATTATGTATTCTGACACAGTTAGACCGACTTTTTTCGAGCGACCTAACCTCAGTTATTCACAAATGAAAATTTCACCCAAAAACTAATTCGGAAATTTAGTTAACTGAGGAAATTGATCAAACAAGTACCTAGTTTGGTCTATATACGATTCCAAGTTTTAACACATTCACATGCACTTATCTTTATATTCGGGGCATAGTGGTGACGAAGCATATAAGATTTGGGGAGATCCAAGGTCTTCAGGAATTCCGCATCGCTCGATGGTAGAAGTATTGAATATCGATAGAAAGCGCATGTGCCTCGTCATATGATATAGGTTAACACTGAGTTTTAATACTGAGTTTTTGTTGGGTAGGGAGGGGGAAAAGGGGAGGTGTTGGTTAGGTTAGCTTCCAGATTAGGTATAGTAATTTTACTTAATGTACTTACACATTGTCCATCGACCCAATATTATTTTATCATTATTATTTGAATAGAAATACATTACACTAAAATATTCCAATTATACTCATCACAACAAACCGTTTTATTTTAGAGTGATATCATCATACTCTGTTATAATAGTTCCAGCAGTCCTGTGACTACGGTCCGACCTCACTGTGTTAGTTTATTTTATTTTCCATGACTATAGGTCACGCATACATTTTTTTTTTTAACTTTAATATTTAAATTTGACGATGGGCGTATTTTTCAATGCATGTTATACCACGCCAGTAAACAGTAATTTTTTGTTGTGTCTTATCAAACAAAATGTTTAATTCAAGCTAATAAATTCATGGTATATTCACAACGACGTCGCTTTAAATAGGTTGTCCGTGAACATGTTTAAACTAGATACCTAGTAACTTAACTATGGGTAAGAAATATTATAATGCAAAATGATCAATTTTTAAATAACCTTATATGATAATAACATACCTTTAGCATTATGTTGTTAGTTGTGCGTTGTTGTACATTATGTTTACCAGTTAACCTACATCAAACGCGTGTTTACTATACTATATATTATCATAACCATAATTTTTTTCCGTTTTTAACTGTAATACAATATTAAAATGCTCTCGTGCATGGTACCTATCTAGATACCCGTAATTTGACTTATGTGCATATTTAATATAATTATATTTTGGTCCTAGATAGGTTTAGACATATTTTTATTCACCTAGTAACTTTTTTATATTTAGGTCGGGTAAAAGAAATTGATTATTATGACTACATTAATAATGTATACTTGTTGCAAACTCGGAAACCACTGGGCATGGGCAAACACACGGTGCCCTGTAATTTAACTTTTGTATACTTTTGATAAAATCGATTGGCTTGTTAAAGTATAAATATCACTACGCCCATCTTGCCGAGCCGTTAGTTTATTGTACTAAACGTTTTGATACATTAAGGACGTTTTGTGTCTGCAAGTACAACGTATTGGAAACTTTCTAGTCCGGAAACTACATTGGTGGCATATCCATTATGCAATTAATTTTGTAAAAGCTATACCAACAAGTTTTACTCTATTTGAGTTTTTTATTCAAAGTGACCGAATAATAATTGTAATAAAATTGTTAAAGTTGCTGCAACTTACGTTTCCGGTATCTTCATCGTATGAGCCGCTGTTTTATTTTGGGTATGCTATGTTGGTTTTAACTGTTGTAAACCACATGTATTGTACTTGTTGCCATTATAGATTGTGTAGTTTGATTAGCTTTTGATTTTCGACATAATATTACAACACATTTGTAGAAATTATATACACATGGTTGTCGATTGGTCTAAAATAATATATAAAATTAAAGCCATTTAAACAACTATAACAAAGTTGTTTTGTGTAGATTTTTAATAGAAAAAACATAAAATCCGGTTGAAATAATATAACTATGTCTTAAAGTGAAAAACAATATTTAGATTGTATCTCTATCAATGTTATTAATATAGATTTTAATTTTTTATTTGCAGGTTATTTGAAGACAGAAGCATAAAAAAAACATGAACGACAGTTTTTTAAGTAGTAATAATAGGGTAGTGTTTAATACGCAATTATTCAGGTACCTGGGCTTTATTAATTTTTTGAGTCCAATGAATTCAAATGTTTTTACAATATTGATAACGCTATCGATATGGGTATCCCTGACTATGGTTTACACGTTATGTGGAATCGTATACCATATAATAAACGGTCAAATTGACGAGGACAAACTAAAATATCAAGTATTGCTGATTTACAATAACTATTTCCTATTGATTCTAAAACTATGCACATTATGTGTTAACAAAGATCGAATATTGGAGATTCTTCAAGTTACAAAAATCGACTTTTTGAAAAGTCCTCAATGTAATTTGAACAAGAACCAACTCGAAAAACTCAGAAATAAAATAAACCAAAATAATTATTTGTATATATTCATGTTTGGCACGGTAGCATCAATTTGGACAATAATTCCCATTTCATATGATACCGTTATGTTTAATGAAACTTTCGATGGTAATTCCCGGTCAAGCGTGTTCAACTTTTTTTATCCATTCACTGAACTAACCTTTAACAATTACTATTACCTTATTTATATAAACGAAGCCATAGCCGGCTTTTGGGTCGTATGGTGCACTCTTATGTTTGATTTGTTTTTAATAACATCTTGTACAGCTATTGCAAACCATTATGAAGTAGTAACGTCAGCATTTAAAACGTTGGGCTCCAATGAAAACAAACAGAGTAAGTCGGTACTGTTTACTAAAATAATCCTTATCTTTATTTGCCGTACCAAACCCTGTAAATTATTGATAATTTATTGGTATTTCCAATCAATTTTTTGTTATAAAGTTAATTATATAGTATATACTAATAGCATTACAACCCACATTGAAACATTTTACATTTTTATTGTGTTTTAGACGATACTGCACAACTAAACGAAAGCTTATTATCCATCATCTCGGATAATCAAAATTTATATATGTAAGTATTATAATATTAATATATTTGTGTATTGGAAAAAAAACAATCAAGTATAATAAAAATGTACATACATTTTTTAAGGGAACGCCTAGGATTAAAAAAAAATGTATTATTCGAAAGAAAAACTTTTTAAGATTATATTCTTAAAAAATATTATTTAGCTGGTTAGCTTTAGAGTGTCATAAATAACCATTACCTAAAAAACATGGCATACGCGATGTGAATGAAGTGTACATGACCATTGACTTTTTGTTGACATTTTGTTTTAATTAATTACAAGCTTTTTGTGATGATTTTAAATAATTTAAAAATATGTATACAAAATAATAGCTACGACAAAATTAACTTTCTTTGTTTTTATTTTTATTTCCAAAATGTTTTTTGTCTCATTCAAATTTCTTTTTCTTAGGGTTCATCCATTTAAATATTATTATAAACATTTTTTTTAGTTTCCATCAAAAATTGCGTTATGTGCTTGTACCTCGCACGTCGACAAGACAAATTCTGGCTACATCATTACTTAAGTATAATTTGATACTTAAAAAAAAAAGATGTAGTCTCCAATTTTTAAGCCAGAGAGTCGAATTTTTAATATTTTATAAAACACAATAAATATATATATATATATATATATATATAAAACATTTCAGTGACATTGATTATCTATTTTGCCTCAAAACCTTTTCAAAATTTACCCAATATTAAGCTTATTAAACCAAATGCCAAGTTATTGTGAAAACCTCAGAACTGTATCCAAAAAGTTCAGAAATGTGAAGTGTGAATCAAGTGAATTAAAAATATGTTTAATAATAGCTAGTAGTTATTTTTTTTTAGATGCATGGAAAAATTGTGTTCCTTGATCCGTCTTAGTGTATTAACTCAAACAACTGGTGCTGCGTCATCAACACTTATAGTGGCGACATATCTAATAGTATTAGTAAGACCAATAACTTTTTATTACTACTATTAGTATTGTTATTATATGTAATATACACACATACATATATTACATATATATATTTTGTTTTATTTTTATTTTTAGAACTTGTTTTCAGTTCCATACGATATGTTTACATTGTTGAAATACTTTATTGTGCTTGTGGCGTTCGGTACACAATTAGCTACTTTTACTTACTTCTTGGATCGTATGAATAACAAAGTAACACTTCTTATAGATACAAAAGAAAACATGTTTTCGATCGTAATAATGGAACGATTAAATTTGTCTAGAAGGATAATGTCAATTTTGGATTATACAGCTGTAACTGGACAGCGATGGATATCGGTTTTAAAAAGACGTTGCTGCTGGCAATGGGTATAAATAACTCTAATCGTTTGGCAATTAAAGCAACGCCAGCAATAATCATTAACCTGGAGTGTTTTTTAAAAGTACGTAATACACCCATAACCTTAGAAAAAATTATGAATATTAAAAAGGTCATGTATAAAAACAGTGGACGGATTTTGGGCTTTTTTTCTTTATTTATACCTCCCTCTCTGTGTATAGTTCATTGCTACCTTTTACTTGAATTGTTTTGTTATTATATTGTGCCCTTTCTTAATTTGGTAATACGTCTTGTGAATGCAACTATATAATCGTTTTACTTTATAATAATTTCCAGTGCTTGACTTGAGAAAAAAGTAGTAGAGGTACTCTAGATACTTTTAAAAAAGTAGCGTCCCTAGCATTTTAATATCCCTCACATTACCGGAGGGGCTTCGCCCCCCACACCCCTTTTAACGGTGCCCTAAGAAGCATTAATAAAAAACCATTAAACAAAACAGAATAAAATAATGATTATCTAGGTATCACTTGTCTTTTTTAATACAAACTTTTTTTTATATAATTTAATCATTTTTCATTTAAAAGATTCCATGGTACCATTGATTAATTGCAAATATAAATACAATTGTACCTGGTGATTACAAAAGAATAAGTCGGTTTCAAAAATCTGTATTTTCTAAATAGTACAGCTACAGAGCTGCTCGACCTCTTAAAATGACAGCTGTAACCTCAAGTTAGGTTAGGTTACCGCTAGGATAATTTGGAATGAACAAAATCCACACACAACCCTGCAACACTTAAGAGACTCGCCAAAAGTTAACGTTTTTTGCGGTATGGACCATTTGTTTTTAATGAAGCCACTGTTACAGGAAACTCGTACCTTTAAATGTTGTAAGATTGGCCGTATGATTTTTTTTTTTGTGGGGTTGCGTCAAGGGAAAAGTTTGTGCCGCCATTGCCTGCGAACATTGAAGATTTGAAGCCATGCATAACTTTAGCTGTGCAGACAGTAACTACTGACATGCTCCATAGAGTGTGGGAGGAATTTGCATACCGACTTGACATAGTTTGGGTTACTCAATGAGGACACATTGAACATTTATAATTTATTTTTATTTTTAAAAAAAACGAGGTTATAGCAGTCATTTTAAGAGGTCACCCAGCTCTGTACCGTTTGAAAAATACACATACTTGAAACTTGTTCGTTTGTTATCACCCTGTATTTAATCAATGACGATACACCTCTAGACAGCGTATTTAAAGTTTAAACGGTCAAACGGAGCGATTCGTTCCATCAAATCGCGGTAACGTTTCGCAACGAGACCAACAACATGACGATTGACGGGTACGAACGGGAAACGATAATGAAATATTGATAGTAAAATAAAATATACGTATCAGATATGAGATATTAAAACATTTTGTAAATATTAGAACATTTTGTAAGATTTATATATTTAACACAAAAATGTAATTTGAGCAACTTTATAAATATAGGTAAGACTAAATATGAACCCGTCCCATGCGTTCCCCTTTAAAAAAGAAGTAGGGGTACGCTAGAATATTCAAAAAATTAGTTGAGGTACTCAGTCCCCCTGCGTCCCCCCCCCCAGTCAAGCACTGATAATTTCTAATTAATATAATTTTTAATTAAATAGGTTTTAAGAGTATCGTATACAATACTCTCAGTGATGATAAATACCAGACATACATCTTCAGGTTAAATTTAACAAGATTCAAAACAGCACACCGAACCTTCTAACACTGATATGTCCGCGTAATCGTCATATTTAATTATTGTACTTTTATAGCTATACAGAATAATTAGAAAAAAACAATTCTTTTTCACTCCTTTGTCGCTTTATAAAATTACTTTAATGTGTTTGCTTAAGTATAGATTTAAATATCATAAGCGCCCACAATGTTTATCATAGTATTGTAGGTACAATAGGTATATATTATTTTATTGAACTTTAGTGTTAAGGTTTTCAATTATAGATTTTCCCTATTATTATTATTTGATCTGTGTATTCCTATTTATTAAGGATGGCCGATTTGTTTAACTCACTTAACCGTTAACAAACACGTTACACATTGTATAATGATTTAATTTTAATAATAAATACACCAACATCATAAAAAAAGCGTACTCTGATATTTGGATTCCCAATTAAATGAAATAAAGTGATACAGTTAAAATACTTTTCGATGCAAATTAACTGTGTAATAAGTTTCAGTAAAAATGTCTACCGTAGTTAATGGTCCTACCACAGCGTTTCGACTGTGATTGAATCACTTTTAAATTAAAGTCTGTGTCAACTTCTTACTGTACCAGACTCATGACTCTATTTGACATTTCTTCTAATATTCACGTGATCTATGTTCAATCGAAAGTTTAAAGTAATCTACAACTATATATTACTTATATATATCTTATTAGCATATTTAATAAAACAAAACTCAGTTTTGTGTACGTTATAAGTAGTAATAAAAATTATACTTTATGCTACAGTCACTTATATTTTTTCATACCTACTCAAGCTTCAATTTCATAAAAAATATCTATTAAGATTGACCGTTGGTTTACCTAACCTAACCTTTGGATTCTTGGAGGACGTCATAACTCATACCACCTATTTCTTAAGGCGTTCGGTATAGGCAATTTTTTGCCAAATCTAAAAGTTAAACTGTGTTGTGTAATTATTAGTTCAGTGATTAGGACTCTACTAAGACAGTTAATTTATTTTTCGGACTATCACTTTTAAAACTTTTTTAAGTGTTTATATTTAAAGTAAGATATAAGTGTACCAAAAATACCGACGAGAGAACCTATGTTAAAGTTCTCTTCCTTTTTAACGGTATCGACATTTTTTTCCCTGTGACTATTTTGAAGGTATTGGCTTCCTCTCAAGAGTCGACGTTCTCAACTCTTCTTGCTACAACTACATATACTGGTAGCTGAGTGGTAGGTTAGGTTGGTATAATTAACATTGATTAATCGAACACACATCAATACACGGTTATAGTTTTAAACTGATTTACTGACAAAATTCCGCACGAATAAACTTAAATTATACTTACCTATACAAATTTAACAACTTCCTTCGCGGTACGGTAATTTTTTAAGTAATTTTTAAATTTAATATCGTGTTTTGTCACTTTTCAACGTTTTATTAATTGACCCCAGCGGGAGGGATGAAGGAAGTGGCCAATATTGGCTCGTGTCCATCGTCCAATTTTTCGCACTAAGAACACATGTATTACGTGTGCTAAGTATATAATAATATTATTATCATTAATTCATAGTTTGTTTGTCGATTCGTCGAGTTGGGCGATCACGCAAACGATAGTTTTACTACCCCGGAGCGAATAACCGAAATAAAAATCAAATACAAAATGTGTAAAAAAAAATGTTAAAAATGAAAGAATAAGAAGCTATATATTACATCGGTAAATAACAATAATGTCTGCAAGGTAAACCGATACAACACTTTGGCGTCCCGCTGGACACGCAGAGTGTAATATACAAATCATAAAAATTACCATTCAACGAAAAAGGCGTCGGTGCTGTATAATTATTATGATCATACTTAGGTAGCTCTTCTCCACGACGTCGGTCGTGTGTACCTTGTTCGCGAACACCTCAAGAAAGTTTGTAAATCGTGTAAATTATTAAATAGGGAAAACGCGTTGGTTTACTGTTTTGATTTTTTTTTTTACCGGTTTCGCCTCTCCAAATATTTGGTTTACCGTCATCGTTGTTTTTTCTGACGGTTTTACACTGCGGCCCGGCGGGTGGTTGTACGGTAATAATAAGATATAAGAATAATAATGATAATGATAATAATAGGTAATAGCCTACCTGTGTAATATTGCCCCGGTGGTGTTTGTAGACCAAAAAAAATACCTTCGTTATTTATGTACGTCCAATTTAATAGTCGCGGGTCGTTCACGCTGAGCGGTGGTGGATCTGCGCATTTAATGTATTCAAAAAATACAATTTTAAAAACTCCACCGGTGATGGCCGGTTTACGAGGCGCTTTTATTTGTTCTTTTTTTAATGTCCAACGCTCGAGCTAAAGGTTAAGGTACACTATTATCAAATAAAAACACATTATTATTATTACTATTTAAAAGAGCCTCTAATGATGTCCATAAAACGGTCGTTGGTCCGGTGGTGGTCTTTGGGTTTCCGAGCAAATCAAGAACCCTGGCGTTAGACAATAAAATCAGTACAGTTCGCTGTTCGATTGTAATTTTATATATTAGGTATATTTACCGTCTTATACTTTTATTACATGTCTGTGTTCTTCGTTTGTTTTTCCCGAAAAAATCGTATTTGCCGTGCACCTGTTGAAAGATCAACAATATAAACTGAAAACTCATTAAAAACAGTTTGCGTGAGTTCTTTAATTTCGATTAGGTTTTATTACTTCAATCGTAACAATATATGTTCATAAAACAGCCTAATTTGTTGGAATAGGACCAGTTCAATGAATTATGTTAAAAATATAAAACCAATATCTTTTCTGCTGTCGCATTGAAGCTAAAACAACATTTTAAACCGTTCTATGCACAGATATAAGATTTGTTACCCGTATATTGTACAGGACTGTATCTAAAAGTTTTCAAATTTAAGTCGTGTTCAAACTTATCAATCAGTGTCCATCAATTACTGAAAAAATCAAGTCAGTAATAGGTATTTTTTTAATCTAGCAGCACATCACATTTAACAAAAAAATATATCCTCCCGAAGTATAATACATTATTAGAATTTGTGCTATAATATGATGCCACAAATACTACATACAGTACATATAGTACTTGTATCATGTAATTCTGATGGAGGGAGGGAGGGGGGGGGGTTATATGAACCGTTTTGACGGCCAGCTTTATTGCCTATGGTACGCACAAACTATATAATAGTATTATACAAAAAAAAATTGAAATAATATTATCACACTACACATACACACCAGCAACTGTCCGCCCGTTTCTCGGCTCTTGTATATTATAATATTATACTCTATTATGACTATATATAATATGCAGCACACGTAATTATGTTTCCAAACGCGTTTTATATGCAAATATGGATTGTTTTTCTGGCCGAAAATTAATCACACGATTACATGTTTGACGATGAGCAACGCGATGAAACTTCCGATGATGGCCGCCAGTCAACATAATTTTACCTACTCGGTCGATTAAGTTCCTTAGCACACTATAAATTAGTATAAGTCGTGCCGAGTTATTATCATCAACCGGCGGTCATCCCGAATTTCGTAATATTAGCATAGGACGACCAGTCCGGAGTCAATTAAAAACGTGTACTTACACATTCCACTTCTCGCCTATAATGGTATGCCTACTATGAGCCCGGAGGAGCATAATGGTCCATTTTATTAACACAAAAATCAAAAACCGTAGACTCGGTTTAAGTTATAATATGAATTCCACTGTTATTCCCAACTGCCAACGCCGAATATTTTAAAAATAATTAATAAATATTATCAGGTTAGTGATTCGATAAATATTATAAATACACATTAATCATAATATTGTATTTTGATAATCAACACTTCACAGTTATTATGCTCTAAAAGTATTAAAAACGGTATTAATATATTTTCAAAAAAATGTCCATCTATTATAATGATTATTACCATCATTTGAATGCAGTTAGTTTTCTCATTTTTACTGATCGACTTTGGGTGTAATTTTTGTTTCAAACTACTGAAGTTTTTGCGAACACTTAAAATGAAGTACTTTTGGTTTCTTTAAACTAATAATTGACTGTTGCCATTTATTCGTTTTACTCGGCATTGCACGTTTAATATATTTTTTTAGTTCCAAACGGAAAATAATAATATAATACCTACACATGTTTTCCACCTGGTAATATCAACGTACACAGCATAAGTGGGTACGTCGATATCGTTGTAAATGGTAATGTATAATAACACAAACTGAAAACCAGAATGATTAGTGTGTCTTACAAGGTAGTCGTCGGTGTAGATAAATACCTATTTGATGATCGTATTGGATGTCGCCCCGGAGTAAAAAACAATAAATAAACCGGTGTTACGTTGCGGTCTCCTCTCTTATACATATTTTGTATTACAATCTTTTTTCGGCACCGCTTTAAGTTTTCCATAACTCATTAATTTTACACTGGAAACAATGATTTCCTCTGCACCGAGGTGTGTCTCGGTTTCCGTTTGGCGTGTAATTAGAATCGACGAATTGACCCATAACATAACTCTTAGTAGGCGGCCGCCGATTTGCCTTTTGGTGCCGCCTAAGTATCCAATGATATTTTTTTCTTATTTTTTTATGTTCTTTCCCTCCCCCCTACCCTCCTGGTTTTTTCTTATCCGCGCCTGGGTTTCACGAATCACGGCGGCAACGAAATTGCGCATAAATCTCGGGAAATAAATAATTCCAATAGGTAATAATAACAACAATATTGTAATATTATATATTATATTAAAAAACAATAAAAAACGCAATATTCACACACAATCGTAGCTCGAGCATAATAATATGCACAACCACACAGAGACTTGGCCGGTAACACATACTTTATCGACGTTTTACTTGACACACTTGTACCTAGTCATCTCACCGGAGGATATATTATACCGTGGTGAATAGTGGTAATTATATTTTTTGTCCATACTAATATACGAGTGTTGTAGACGAGAAGCTTATCAAGTATAAAAACATTAAACGCTATGGTCAAAAGCTAAACAATGTATTCGAGTAAGTATAGACACTCGGAACTCGACTACATAGGTTTTATAATAATAGAGA